AAAAATGGCAATTCTTAAATTTGGATACTGCATGTTCGACCACGTTCCAAAGCGAATTGTTTGCACTTTTGTGGAATGATCCAGAATTGACCATAGGACTGATTGTGAGACTTCTTTATAAACAAGAACACACAGCTGCAACACTCCAACTGATCCCCATTCACTAGGCACTACCAGATGAGGAAGTTGCTGCGCTGAAATACGAGTAACAGCGTTTAGTCCAGACGATGTTAATTATACTTCACTCCTTCGACTTAGAGAACATGTTCACATAACAGCTGCACCTTTTTGATCAGTTATTCAAGTTTTACTTGAAATAGGTCGATGAATCCAAAAGCACACACGCGGTTACTTTTATAGACAACAAAGCGATACAAAGGCTGTCATAATTCTACTTTAACCAAGTCTTGTTGATTTACCGTCGCATATTAATTAAAAGGTGTTAGACAGATTCACATCCACTGTCTTTAGGAAACTTTTTGCGAAGAAAGGCGGAGGCAAAACATTTTGAAATGACTGCAAACGATTTTTCTGATCAGACCCTTTTCTGTTCGCAGTAGAAGTCAATGGCTGATAAATTTAATTGTTTCCGGTGTTATTATTTTCCTCATTTTTTCATCATCTTCCGCACCCACTCTACTCCCACCAATTGGGACGTTCATTCTTTTAAAAGACTTTAGTTACATTTTCCCTTCTCTTACTTCTTGTAGTCAGCCAATGAAGTCATGTGATACTCCATTCGACGACCTGTTTAGAGTGCTTTGTTTCCACATGGGTGCCTAAGCATAGCGGTTTGTCACCAAATCATTTTATTCCCCAAAATAGAGATTCTTTTAGAGTAGGAATTCAACTAAAGCTGCGAAGCTGAAACACAATTCTGATTTCAACGTTTGTACTCTATGCGAACGCATCGTGTAACCTTTCTGAGTTATGTGTGCGATGGGGAATCTGTTCACTGAGGCTTTGATATTTGGGAGGGAGTAGGAGAAGTTTCTTATTCGCCGCATCAGGTTCAAGTATTTTGGAATGTAGTGCAACGAATATACAGAAAGAAGTTGTTCTTTGAAAATCTAAACCTCTTCTTAGGTCTACTTCTTTTTTACTATTTGCTCCCATATTCAACGATGTTGCATTTATAACTACCAATTGGTATGGTACGGCTTATCGTTGCATTCAGTGACTCTCGGTCACTTTTCGTCCGCCTATACTGAATCCACGCGGAGTCAACAGCCAAAACTCCCATCATAAATCTTCTCACAGTTGGTGCAGATCCTACTTTACTGATAGAGCAGTTGGCACGCCGACTGCAGACTGAATTTTGCTTCATATCGATGGGTCAAGGTCAGGAGGTTCACGCCCGTCAGTACATCGAACAAGCAATGCGTCAGGGCTCCTGGGTACTACTACAAAACTGCCACCTTTCCCTCGATTACATCAATGAATTGCCCACCCTCCTCGCAGGACTGAGGACAGAAAGCGAATCACATTGCAGGTTTACAACAGATGCTCTATCATACACTGATACCGTTGATGAATCTGTCATTGAACAGCACACTCCACAACCGAACATGAGCTACACCAGTAGCATAAAACCAGTGGCATCAGATCAGTTTCGTCTTTGGATCATCACGAAGGACCACAGTCGGTTTCCTGTTAACTGTTTGCAGATGCCAGTAAAGTTTACCAACTAACCACCCGAAGGTTTGCGCTCGGGTCTGATTAGGACCTTCTCCGACATATCGCAGGACCTTCTTGATGCTTGTGTTAGTATGCACTGGAAAGTCATCCTCTACGCTGTGGCATTTCTACACCGAGCCTTGGAAGGAAGAAGAAAATTTACCCCAATTGGGTGGTCGGTGCCTTATGAGTTCAACCTGGCGGATTACAGTGCGTCAGTGGAGTTCATGCGAAGTCACATTGACGAGATTGAGGTCATGAAAAGGAATATCAGATCAAGCGTAAGTAATCACCTTTTCTGGGCGAATCGAATGCGTTTTCCCCAAAGGACATGCTCTAAACTCGTTTACTTGGTTAAAGTTTACGTTCAAACTATCATGAATTGATCGGGAAATCCGACCTCGCATTTGGGACGTCGACAACGAACGTTTTGAGGTAGAATTGGCACATGCCTAGAGGTCCATTGTAGATAGTTCCGCCATAATTAAATGCAAGTAAGTAAGCCTAAAGTGACTATTGGTCTTCTTTTGCAGCGCTCAGAATGTATAGCTGTTGTCCTTCCGGCGCTGATAGGAATCTCCTTATCACTTTTCTTACATCCGGAGCGTAGTACGAGCCATGAAACAGTAGGAAATGACCTGTATTACAGCATAAATGTCCACATCTGGCCATCAATACTTCAGCTATGTCTCTTGCTTTGTGGTGCGTTTCCTGCAACAGTTCTATCCAAGTCTCGAAATCGTGAGAAT